TGTTAATTCCTACTTTTCTTTCTTTTTTTTTTTTTTTTTTTTTTTTTTGGTCTGTTATAAGGCCTGAACTCTGGGCCTGGGTGCTGTCTCTCAGCTCTTCAGCTTAAGGCTAGTGCTCTACCACTTACGGCACAGCGCCACTTTTGGCTTTTTCTGCTTATGTGGTGCTGAGGAATCAAACCCAGCAAGGCATGCACTCTACTATTGAGCTACTTTCCCAGTCCCAATTCCTACACATTTTTATGTTTTTTGAGACTATTTCAAATGGAATTGCTTTCCTGATTTCAGCCTTGATCTTCTCATTGTTGGCATATAGGAAAGTTATATTTTGTGTGTGTATGGGTGTGTGTGATTTGATGCTACTTTACCAAGGTTATAATTTTATAAGTTGCTACTATATCAGGGTACAGTAAAGCCACTAGCACAACCATAATCATTATAGCACTATTCACCATAGCCAAGGATGTAATCAGCCTAGAAGCCCCTCAATGAATGAGTGAATCAAGAAAATGTAATATCTATCTCTGTAGCTTTATCTCTCTCTCTTTCTCTATCGCAGAATTTACTTTCCATTAGAAAGAATATTGTACCATATGTAAAGAAATGGAAAGACCTGGAAAAAATTATGTTAAGTGAAGTAAGTCAGGACCAGAGAGACAAAGGATCAATTTTTCCCATATAATATATATATATATATACACATACACACATATATAATAAAACTCTAAACAATGCCTTCACAAATAAAAGAAGGTGTTTTCTGCATCTGAATTCTCGAGATATTACTTAATGTGTGAATGTTTTGAAAAAAGATCTAGAGAAAAGAAAATAACTTGGAGAGTGGAAAAAATAAAACTGAATAGTTAATGAAAAAACGTGTTTGTAAAACTACAAAGTGTTGTGCTGGAAAGGGACATTTAGATAAACAACACCTCTGTAGATGAGGAAACTAAAACTCAATGGCTAGAAACAGAAATAGTTTTCTTTTCTTTCCTGTTTTTCTAGGATTTTTTGGTCTTTATTTGAGTTGGAGACTCAAGAAGAGAAAATTAAGTAACTGAAGGCTGTCCTGCTCTTCTGTAATGGGTTCTACTCTGGTCTGTAATAACTATTAATTGAATGGATGGTTTCAATTGCAATTTAATAAGTCTTCCTTCTTAATTTAGATTATATCTGACAAACCAATCTTTTCCCGGATTAGATTTGAAATCATTCCTATTACAGAAAATGATATCTTGTGAAATCAGTTTTATTTTCCCTGCTAAGAGAAGAAGGAGATTTATGTATTGATATCTGAAGTTCAAAGGCAGAAACTCCATAGGTTTCTTTCTTTTCTTTCCCTTGGAGAATTTTTTTAAAGTTGTGTAGAGTTCACTATTAAGGGTGTTCCATTAAAAATAACAATTCAACAATTTGCCTACATTTGCATTTGTTTACAACTTCAATGTGCTGAGGGCTGGACTTGGCCCTAGTTACTTTGCAACACGGTATGATCCCAGTTCTAGGAGAGTTTTTCCCTCAAAGGAAATTAGGAGATTGTCCGGGAACAAGTACCAAACAGAACTGGTCATATTGTCAACGCTGTGATAGGGATCCACAGAGGGACTGACTGACAAGTCAGTGGTGGGAAATGTTACAGGTAGAAGTTGCAAGTCTATGCAAGAAACTATGAGGAAACCTCATGGTGAGCTGTGAGTACAGAGCCCAGTGATGAGAAAATGGGTCACAAGTAGGCAGGCAATGGCTGAGCAGGAATTAGATTCCTCTGTTGGTGCAGAGGGAGCTGCTGAGGACTGGAGGCTTGGTCTGTAATAGATTGCCAGCCTCGTGAATACAAGGTTCTGATATCTGATATTGAATACAAGGTTCTCAATATCTGAAGGGGAGCTACTGAAAGGCAGATGAGAGGAATATACTTCCTTCAGGTCTTAGAAATACGTTGGTGGCTAGGTGAAAGATGAACTTGAAGGGATTCCAAAGAAAGTCAGAAGACTAATTAGGAGGCAGTTATCATTAGAGGAATATTTTTGTAAGGTTTCTTTAAAAAATAAAAAGGAACTTTTTGTCAAAATTAGTCATATGGGGTGGAGGAGCTTGTTTATTACCTGTATTGATTGTCTGGCATTATATCTGTGTGTTTATTGGTATACTTGTTTATCTATTCAGTATCTGTCTCTTCTACGGCATTTGATGAGAGGAGTTGAGCCTGGACCACTCCTGTATGCTGCAGGCCTATAACAATGTGTGCCACACAGATGCTCAATACATCTTTGCTGGATGAATATTTGAAAAGAAAATAGCAATGCTTGACTTGAACATGAGCATATACTGACACAAACACCTGCTTCTGAGAAGTCTGATAATGGTCTCAGGCCCTAGACACTTTGGTCTTAAGGTTTTTTATTTTTTTAACCTGTCCTATTCTCCAGAGCCATTTCAAACATCTGCAAGCTTAGCCACCCTGAATTCTTCCCACACTGCTGGGAGACGGGGCCTCTCAAACAACACTAATTGGTTTGTAGGTAATAGATGTGAAAGGTAATAGATCTGATTTTTTTTAAGGAAAGAAAATAGTCTTTTGTGCAAACCCCAAGTGTGCTATTAGCCCCAAAAGTTGAGTAATTTGGAACATCATCCTTTACATTGAGAACCCCAAGCTCATTAAAGCCCTAAAATAGGTCTACTAAGCTATTGGCTCAGCTCTCTCCCGGAGAGCAAGAAACCCAGACCAAAGTTTTTCTTACCCGACTTTCCACCAACCCCTAATCCAATTTGATTCATACCCAGCCAAGGCGACCTTTGTGGGAAACCATGATTTTCTTTTTGCTCTGTAATATCTCTCCCCCTTCTTGATTGTATTTGAAATAATTTTTACAAAGCATTTAAAAATTGAAGAAAGCTATTCATAGAACTCTTTGCCTGATATATTTCTCTTTTTTTCATGTTTAACAATCTTTAATTCAAATGCTAAAATGTAGTACAAGCCATTTTTTAGAGCTTGGGAATTTGTTCTTAAAAACAAGAGTAGGGGAAATGTGACAAAATGATATTTCTACTTTTTATAAACTTTCAAAGAAAGTGTAAATCTCAGGGCCTTGAAAGATCTATTTAACCAAACCCCTTACCAATAGCTTATACCCATTCTATATACTTATTCCTGAATAAAGATTACAATTCAGCTTTGCTTACATAACCACTTGTACCAGCTTGCTTCCTATACTGTCAAATATATCATGAACTACTTTCGAAATACATTTCTTTTAAAACAAGAGGGTAGTTCTTTGTAGAAAGCAATGCTTAAGCTTCCAGGTACATTTCCCAGAAAACAGCATATGCTATTCAAAGACTGAGATACTCTCAAATTAGAAGACCTATCTTAATGTGCATAGAGGCATGAGTGGCAAAGTTGAAGATCAGTATTTAACTATGTTTTCTATTTATTTGAAGCATAGTAATATATATATATATATATACACACACACATATGTACACTTTGGATATTCAGTTTCACATCACTGCCATTAACTTGAGGAACGTTATACAGTTTTTTAAAAAAGGAAATAAAAGGAAAAAATTGTCTCCTTTTTTTGAGCAGTGCATTACATAATTTTACCTGCCCAAAGAGACCATTTACAAATATCAGGCCAATAAACTGCTAACATCCATAAAAAGGTAGCTATCATACTAAAATGCAAGACTTGAAAGGTGGTATCCAGACAAGAAAAGACCAAAACAAACTGGAATGAAAGCCTAGCGATCACATCTACATTCAGGGCTTTTTGTTTGGACCTTCATCCTCTTCTCTCCCCTTACCTTATCCTGCTGGAGTTCCAGGCCTCATTCCTCTAGGAGCCTGTTCACTCACAGACCCCACACTTCCTTGCCCAAAGCACTCAATACACATCTTGCTTCCCATCATAGAAACACTCGTGGTTGCTAGTACACAGTGAGCTTCAAGACAAGAGGAAAAAAGGTATAGAAGGGAAGAAGAGATGAGGATTCACCAGCATGAGAAAGAAGAACACATGAGATGCCAAAGAGAGGAAAGCTATAGCCAGATGGGATGCATGGGTCCAAGAGAAAGAGGCATGAGAATGGGTGGTGGAGGAGCAATGAACATGGTTGATCCCTATGGTTCAGGAGGCCAGAAATATCCACCTCCAGGTGCTGGTGGTGGCGACCACATAGGTTATGGTAACTGATATGTTTCAGTGTGAATTCAATCACTCCATCACCAGGTTTAAAGGACTGATAGAGAGGTGGTTAGGGATTCACGACAGGAGACTAATAGAGAACAGAGGGGCATTTGTGCAGAAAAGAGGCACTATCAAGGCTGAAGACCCATTGCACTTCTCCATTTGGTTTAAGGTGGGTCCTGTTTATCTTCAGCTGGATGGAGACAAATAGGCACTGTGCACCTGGTAATTGTATTCTGCAGGTACAAACCCAGGAGCTCCATCTCATATGATTTATGAAAGGGAGCTACCTTCTGCTTTTTAACATGTGTTTGACTCATACAAAGGACCATTTTCCCCTGAAGGTCCATTAATAAAAGTTATACTGTAGCCTTAAAAGGAAGAAGTGATGTTGAATTATTAACAATTGAACATATACCATGTATGTCTCAGGTACACAGATGATGACATAATAGACATTTCTAGAGAAAGAACAAGGTGTGCAGGAAAATCACAAACATTGGGAAAGAAAATCCCCCCCAAATTGCTCACATATGTGAGAGATTAGTCAGCATACTTGGGGCTCACCAGAAGTTTTGGGTAGCCAATAATTTCATCGTGATTGAGTAGTTGGGAACTCAAAATGAATGTACCTTCTCAATGCCACTTTGTCAGACATTTTTTAATGAAGTAATAGATCTGTGAGTCAGTAGGAAAAGCAGTGCATAATTTATAATCCAAGCTGGCATACTGTGTTATTTCATTTTATGCTATGGCACCTGTATAATGTACATATATTTAAAGAAATGTTATTAATGCAAGTACCTTTGCAGACACTTGCATACTGTTTTCTTGCATGTTCATGATGGCTTCAGAAATCTTGACATCTATAGGATCCATGACCGACTCAATGTTGAATGGCCCTTCCAATCGTTCTGCCACCAAAAGCATTGCATCTGTAAAAACACAGAGACATAATTTACCAAGAACCAGGAGCTCCAGCTACTTAATCCACATTCACCCATTTTCAAAATGACTGCCTGAAAGATAATGTCAATCTTTCCCATTTTTCTTTCCCATAGTTGAAAATAAAATAGACAACTAAAAAATCACTTTTACTTCAGTCAAAGATTTATGATTAGTTTACCTGCACAGAAGCATACCTGAAAATAAGAAAATTAGTATAAATGCACACAGTTGAACATAGCTACCTATTTTGTGTGAAATAAAAAGCAATATAAGGTCAGCAATCAACTGCATTTTGAAAATAGGATGTGATCAAGAATTGAGTGTAGGGAAAATGAAAATACTAGAGGAAAAAGAATGCAGATTTGTAAATTGGGTGCACAAATATCAAGATGCCAGTCAAGTGTATCTACCTGTGTGAAGCATTCCTGGATTTCTCCCCAAAAGACATGCTCCTACTTTGTGCTACCTTTCTACCCAGCATGCCCTTCTGTTTTTGATTTTCAACACTTCTTGGGAGATAAGGGGAACTTCCCTTACTTGGTTTGGTATTTTCAAATGTCTGTAAGATGTACTGAACTTAGTGGAACTAACTATTACTCAGAATGAATGAGACTCCCGGAGGAGACTGTAATGATGGCATGGAAACAAGAGCTATGATGCAGCAATCAGACCTTGTTTTGTTCTAAAGGGCTGAATGGCTATGAGAAAAATCTTTGGTGTTATTAAGCCACAAGTTTGTGAGCATATAAAAAGACAGAGGACAAGGACGCTCTCTGTGTGCATTGTGGGGACAGATGCCCTTTCTACAGCATCCATTCTTCGTAACCAGAACATGGTTTGATGAGCCACTGTCCAACCAGAATCTGCATTAGAATGTTTTTGTAATAATGAAAGTTTGATAGTAGAAGAAGGTCTGTGTTTAGCAGGACTGAGGAATTCAAAAATTAATTTAGATATAATTAAAAATAATCCCTTGAGTCCAGTCGCTAGCAAACTAAACAGTACAGTGTAGACTTTTAACATCTTGACTCAAAAGATGTCAACATTTTCAATTGTTATAGCTTATGGAAACTAATCTTCAACACTTTTTTTTTTGCAAAATAATATGCGTTTATTATCCAATAGTCACAAAACGTAGAAAAGAAAAACAGAGGAGAAATACACCATAATCCTACTTCCCAGAATAACACTATAAACAGTGTGGTATGTACTCTATATTTTTTCCCTCTGTGCATGAATATTTTAAGCTTGCAATGAAATATAGAGCACATATATCATATAATCTACTTTCTAAATGTAATATATTATTAATGCACAACACTGTTTATACTTAGATGTTTTAGAGTGGGGTGTAAAGAAACCAAATTTTATTTTTATTGCTTATCTAACCATGTTCAACCCAAGTCCACAATGAAAAACTCTCAGGGTTATAAAGTAGCTATGAATTAGATGGGTGAGAAATGTTTTAAGATGACATTTTTTTATAGGACATACAGAACTGTCTGGGAAACAAAGACTCCTGTTTTTAAAGAGCCTAAGGCTTTCTAAAGCCACATCAGTGTTTACAGCTATCAACTAGTGTTTTTTCCCCCAGACTTCTGAGCCGTCGCTGTACTCTCCACGGAATGAGCGCAAGAGTGAATTCTTCTCTTCCGTGGTAGAGCCCAGAGCAGTGGAGAGCATCCTCCATCTGACCCCTCACTCTGTACCACACATCATTGTTATGTGGGTGACCCAAAAAGCATACCTACAAACAAAAGGTCTCATAAGAAGCCCTCCATGTTTTTTTCATTTTTTCTCCTTTAGATGATGCAGAAGTATCCATGTATGTCACAGCAGGGGCTCAAGTGAAAACAGCTATTTCTCCAGATCTTATGAGTTAATTATATGGCAGTATGAACAGAGGATGCACTTTGGTTGTAATATTTCAATATTGAATGTTTTATTCCTTAAAGTTTGGAAGAATAGGTGAATGAATGTTGTCTGGAAGCTAGTCTACTTCTTTTGTGTCTTTATATATACACTGTGTGTTTATCAAAAAAGATCTCCTTTTTTTTTTTAACAAAATTTCCTAGCAGGTCCCCCCTGATGATTAGTTCTAATGAATGAACAGGTTACTCTGGACAGATAACATATTTTAAAAGAAAAACCATCAGGAAATCATTGTATGGGGAAAAAAAATAAATTACCCAGCAAATGTAGTGGAAGCAATTGATAACTGTGAGATGGCTACCAGTTAATTGTGTTTTACATGTGTATTTGATTTTTTTTTTTGGGTCCAGTCGTGGGGCCTGAACTCTGGGCCTGGGCGCTGTCCTTCAGCTCTTCAACTCAAGGCTAGCGCTCTACCACTTGAGCCACAGCGCCACTTTCGGCTTTTTTCTTTTTGCATATGAGGAATCGAACCCAGGGCCTCATGCATGCAAGGCAAGCGCTCTACCACTGAGCCACCTTCCCAGTCCCATTATATGTGTATTTGAATAAAATGTGTAGCCAATGAGTACATACACATATATATCCAACATGAAGAGGTTTAGTTGGTGAAGTAATATTTGTTGTAATAAAAGTCAGAAGGCAGATTCAATCTGGCCTATTTGGGTTGGCTCCTCATAATCTGGTGAATTCAGCTTTTTCTTTTTTTCTTCTTCTTTGGAGTTATTGGGGTTTGTACTCAGATTTTGTGCTTGCTAGAAAGGTACTCTTCCACTGAAGCTGTGTTCCCTGTCCTGTTTGGTGTTGTATAACTCCAGCATGCTAGCTTGCCTTGTCGATTCTGAGCTTAAAAACTCATTTCCCCAGACTACAATAATAGTGCTCAGGTTGATGCTTTCTCTCAGTTAGTTGCCTGCCAGCCTGTGGATCCTACTGTCAGGAGGCAATAAAATACAGAGCCAAATGCCCCACCTTAAACTTCCTGTCCTTCTGTTTCCATTGTTTTATGTCAATTCACTTGCTTTGTTATACAAAGCAATTGAGCATAATTAAGTTTTAATGCACATATCCATTTTCCACTTAATTTAGATCGTAGGTCAGAATATACCTTCTTAAAAAGAGGTTTAGTTATATGGTTTAGCCTATTAGTAGTCTTCTTTCTTTAAAAAATTACAATATGAAGATACTGTTTCAGCTTGAAACATCAGGATCATCATTATAAAGGAACAATGAGCATGTAGTTAACAATACTGAATTATACACTTCAAAAATTGTTGAAAGCAGATTCCACACACTTCTTCCTTAAAGACAAAGCATTTCACAAATTCTTCATCAAAATGGATGAAGAGAAATCATTCAGCAGTTATGAATGCACACAAATGCATCGAAATACTCAGTTCATTAAGCCAAAAATACACAAAATATTCTAATTCCCAGAAAAGCTCAGATAAGGTATGTGTCTAATATCTCCATAAAATAACACAGATTTACATTATATATAGGTTCATTGTAAGAATGGGAAGAAAGGTGGCAGAAAATACATGTATTTTCCTACTACATAGTTGTTTGTGAAAATACACTAGATGTTCAAAGGCCTGATAAACCTATACAAGTAAATTATACACAGATTCTTACAATATTAAAAAAAACATTTAGATTCAAAACCACAAACATCTAGATAATGGAATCACCCACCTGTACTTTCCCTTTTTGTTCTAAATATACATGGCATGAAAGGAAAATATGGTTTTCTGGAAAACTTCTCCAAGATTTTTCACTTACATCACCTGCTGCTGGTAGGAGTCTAGTTCCCTTGGATTACAAAGTGAGAAAGTCACCACTGGGCCCTAGATTTCAGAAAAGGCATTATTGACTGGTGGATCTGGCTGCAGACTCCAGTGGGAAGAGAAAGTCTGAGGAGTCCACAAGCTGACCGGTAGATCCCTGTGTGTCAAACTGGCTTTCCACTTGCCTGGCAAACCTCTCACGTCATGCACCCTGCGTCTAAGGCCAGCCTCCTTCTCCCTTGAGGCTGAGGGAACTCATGCATTGGGACAAGCTGAAATCTTACTCCTCCCAAACTACAGAAAACCACAAAATAGTTTTGAGACACCAAGACAGTAGCTGGTTAAGTTTCTCTGAAACCAATTAAGTCATAACATGGCCCTAACTTGCTTCAGAGGCTGCCATCCTGTGCTATCAAAATTATCTGTGTCATATTTAAATATCTTTGGGGTATTCTTTTTACCTACGGTCTTAAAGCTGTTATCTCGACAATTAAATGAGGACAGTCAGAGTATGTGAGCTAATGATGAGGTGCTTGTGTCTATACAAATCTTTGGTGTTACTCAACTTTTGTTTCTCTTTAAACAATATTGTTTCTCCTTATGGAGAATAAAAATACAGGGTTAGAAACAGCTGGTATAATAGAGTTATTGTTGCACACGGAGAGATTCGGAGCTGTCCTTTCAAAGGCAATGAGACAAGGTTGCAGGTAAAGCTGCACTTGTAGGCCAAGGCATTAGGATTACATGAGCACAGACTTTCTGGTAGGGAAAGAAAGAAGGGCTGTGAAGTCAGTGCCTGAGTTTTTATTCAGGCCCTTCCACTAAATACCCAGGAGAAAATGTCCTAGGCCCTTCAGCCACAGAGTACTATTTTTTTCATCTATGCAATGGAAACTATGACAACATCTGCCTCATTGTGGTACTATGTGCAATGACAGAGGATTCTGCTTTAATAATTAATACCACCTTTTCTTAGACTTTTATAAGTCAGCACCACTAGGTAGTATGAATAGAAAAGAGAGGATTAACTTGCAACATTTTTTTTGGGGGGGGAGGTGAAGTATTGACAGAAATCGATGTGGGGAATAATGTTATCCATTTACTAATGGAAATGGGTAGCTTTAAGATGCAGAGCTGGTCCTGCTATGTATATTTGGTTAATGTTTAGATAATAGCTGCCTAGAGAGATGAGTTCATTACTGAGAACTATGAGCCTGAGTTATTTTCTCATGATGTGCCTCTTTGGCAATTACAGATGACTATAAAAT